GAAACCTTAAAAGAAACCATATTTTTACAGCGATCAAATTCCTAATGCGTTTATGTAATCAAATGCATGTTAATTATATATTTAATTCTAAATTCTATTTTAATTATTTTATTTCTAAAATATTATTTTCTAAAATATAAATATATTTATCTTCTAAAATATAATCAAGTATTTTATAAAAGACTATTTATTTTCATAAATTCATGAATACTTAAATAAATACTCATTAACTCATTACATATTATAGAAATTATACATATAAAAAAATTATGTATATATATATATATGTGAATTAAAATATTCATAATTTATTCATAAATAAAATTATCCATTAATTCTGCTTCACTCATAATTATGAAAGTTAAAAGTGTTCTAAAAGTTGTTTATATTTTACATTTCTACAAAAACTTTTATTTATAACATATAAGTATTTTATATACAAAAATGATTTTCATGAATACGTAGTCGTTAATTCTGTTTCACCCAGAAATATATTTAAAATTATCGAAGTTGTTTAATAAATGTTGTTTAATCCTGTCTTTAAAATATATGTTCTTTAGAATATTTTTGGTTAAAAAGAAATTAGAAAAGAAACCATATTTTTACAGCTGTCAAACTCGCTGAAATTAAAGGATTAGTTCACTTCTGAATTAAAATTTCCTCATAATTTTCTCACCCCCATGTCATCCAAGGTGTTCATGTCTTTCTTTTTTCAGTCGAAAATAAATTAAGGTTTTTGAGGAAAACATTCCAGGGTTTTTCTCTATATAGTACACTTCAGTGGGGTTCAGTGGGTGGAAGGTCCAAATTGCAGCTTCAGTGCAGCTTCAAAGCGTTCTACACGATCCCAGACGAGGAAGAAGGGTCTTATCTAGCGAAACGATCGGTCATTTTCTAAAAATATTACAATTTATATACTTTTTAACCTCAAACACTCGTCTTGTCTAATTCTGCGTGAACTCTGTGCATTCCGGTTCATGACAGTTAGGGTATATCGAAAAACTCCCATCTCATTTTCTCCTCCAACTTCAAAATCGTTCTAAATCGTCCTACATCGCTGTTTTACTGTTTTTTGTAAAGGGCGTTTGACCTTCTTTGCACGTACACTTTGTAAACACTTGGTCGGTACTTCTGCAGCGATGTAGGACGATTTTGAAGTTGGAGAAGAAAATGAGATGGGAGTTTTTCGACCTACCCTAACTGATTCGAATGGGACTGCACAGAGTACGCATGCGCATTGCAGAGCTACACAAGACAAGCGTTTGAGGTTAAAGGGGTCATATGATGCGATTTAAATTTTTCCTTTCTCTTTGGAGTGTTACAAGCTCTTGGTGCATAAAGAAGATCTGTAAAGTTGCAAAGACTAAAGTCTCAAATCCAAAATGACCCCTTTAAAAAGTATATAATTTTATTTTAGAAAATGACCGATCGTTTCGCTAGATAAGACCCTTCTTCCTCGTCTGGGATCGTGTAGAACGCTTTGAAGCTGCACTGAAGCTGCAATTTGGACCTTCCACCCACTGAACCCCACTTTTTCTCCATTCTGTCACCGATGGAGTTTTGGTTCCTTGCCGCTGTCGCCTCTGGCTTGCTTAGTTGGGGACACTTCATTTCCAGCGATACCGTTGACTTGATTGCAAAGATACTATTTAAACTGAGCTGGATGTTGACATCACTGAATTCAATGATGAACTGTCTTTAACTGAAAAATTAGTGTTTACTATTGTCATTTTGCATTATTGACACACTATTTTCCTAATTAATGCTGTTCAGTTGCTTTGACACAATCTGTATTTTTAAAAGCGCTATATAAATAAAGGTGACTTGACTTGATTTGACTTGACTGAAGTCTACTATATAGAGAAAAACCCTGGAATGTTTTCCTCAAAAACCTTAATTTATTTTCGACTGAAAAAAGAAAGACATGAACACCTTGGATGACATGGGGGTGAGTAAATTACGAAGAAATTTTAATTCAGAAGTGAACTAATCCTTTAATAATCAATTATCCATCTTGAGAATGTTCCAGAAATGCTCAGTCATTGAGACTCTGAAGTATTCAGTCACTTACTGATGCTCGTCAGTGGTGTTTTTCCTGTCAGTATGGGTGAAGGGAACTGCGGCGGGCTGTTGGCCTCAGTCAGGCTCACTATAGTGTGCGAGTGACGTCTCTCTTTGCTGTCCTCCTCAGCCTGCGAGGCGATGTGCTGGCTGATGGGACATGAGGGTGTGACGTTAGCTCATGGATTTACTACAACATATCAAACCGTTTGCCCCATCAAGAGGAGCACCATCATGAAGCAGTAGAGGTGAAGTGAAATGATAAGTACCTTAAGCCTTTCTTTGGGAGAGTATTTCTGTCCCTTTGTGAGCTGAAAGAAAAAAAAAAGAGAGAATGAGAAATGAGAAAGTGAGAAATAGAGCATTATTCAAATGACAGGACGCTTATGCATGGAAATGAAGAGATCAGACTCCAAAAATAGATCTCAGTAATTTGTAAAGCAAAATGCGCAATTAGTAGTTCAGTCAGAGGGATTATTAGCAAAGATATAATCACAGTGTTAACATAATAGGCAATTGTTCTGCTTTGATTTTCGGGTGGATGTGAACCGAGTGCAAATGTGCTGTAAGAAGATCAAGAAGCTAAATATTAAACTTCGGTGTGTAAGGTAAGAATGACTTTGATTGACTTTGATTAACCACATAAAAACAGAAAGGCCATGTGTGGCAGAGAGCTACATGAACATTGTGGTGAAAATAACCTCGGTATAACAGGAAGAGTGAGCTGCTTTTAGATGTTTCCACTGGCACACCCAGTGATGAGCTGCTGCTTTGAACACACCACAGAATATGTTCGTTTTGGTCATTTACGTGGGAGGGCTGCTGTTTTAGGCCAGAGACAGGAAATGACCACGGTTACTGATGAATTCATAAAATACATCATTTGGTTTGTTTCTAATTTTTGGTTCTATATATAATATAATATAACATAATATAATAATTAGCGCTGGCAACTATTACATTTTTAATCGCAATTAATCACATGATTGTCTGCGATTAATCGCATTGTTATGCACAAAATGCAATTATGAATTCAAAAGTAGTGTATTGTCCGCTTTTTTCATTTAAAAGTACTGCGATATGAACAAAAGTACAATAACGTTTTGTTTGCAAACAAACACTTTAAACAAATAAGGTGCTTTTTTACAGCAGTATTCCTTTTACATTGTGTTTATTATGTTATGTGTTTGTGGCTTTTACTCCATGTTAATTATCAAGCATGAGGGGGAGATCTGATTTTTGATTTTGACAAAAATATAATTACAACACTGAGTGGAACACGAGTCATTAAAAATGTTTAGTCCATTTTCCTTCAAATCTGAAATGTGTAAGCAAATTTTTACAGTGTTTAGGAGTAGACTAGCATAGCTCAAGTGAGCACAGACAGGAGGCCTCACCTGTCTGCTGTGAGTGTGAGCAAGACCCTGCTTCCTGTCGACCAGCCACCATCCGTCCCTCTGTCCTCATGTCTGGGCCTGGGCTCCGTCATGCCGCCCCCTGCTGGAGACACGCTCATCTGCAGAGACAAGGACTCCATGCTACGGTGCAGCCCAGAGAGGCGGGGGTAGAGCGAGGGAGAGCCGCCAGCGCTGCCCCCTCGGCCCATGGTGGCGCTGGAGAAACACTCAGAGGAGTTGACGTTGAGGATGGGAGCTGGACTGGGCGTCAGACAGCTTGTGCTGCTAATTCCTGATAGTTCTTGTAATTTGGAGAAGGGCGGCACTTTGGGAGGAAGCTGGTCCTCCACGCTGACTATCCCACAGTCCAGGCTGTTGGAGTTGACCTTGTCCAGGTGAGCAGGTTTGGGCAGAGATCTGGCACTGGAGGGCCTGTGAATGCCATGATACACAGATGAGTTCAAAACCAGACGCACAAATAACTCACACAACAGAAATGTCAATGACGAAAATAAACACATGAAAAATACGAAGATATATGGCTGATTTTTAAAAGAATAAATAAATAAAATAATAAAAAATGAAAGTACAGATAATATCACCTTTCAACCTTTGATTGTAATTAAAGAGAGTTTTTAAGAGTGCTCAAAACTTTTTTTGTTTGTTTCCCAAGTGTTGAAATCAAGAAAATCAGGATTCTTTTAAAGAAATTTAAATACATCACTACAATTATCACATCAAGAATATTAAACAACAACTGAGTTTTTTTTTTTTTCAATCCTATGCTTGTTATATAATTTGTTTTATGGTTACGTTATATTGGTTATATCAGTAATATATATGGTTATCATGGGTGCACATCTCTACCATAGCAACATACTTACAATTTGAATAATTAATTAATAGAAAAATAAATTAATAAGTATGATCTCAAAATATTAGAATATTAAAATTATTATTGCCTGTACTATTTCAGTATTATTTAAATATTTTCCGTTTTCATTTTAATTTGAGTTCAGATTTTAGTAATCTTATGTGCTTTTGTCATGTTTTATCTCAGTAAAAATAATGCAGCTTTATTTCAATAAAAATAATAGTTTTAGAAATTAGTTTAAAAAATAATATTTTGGAAATAATTTCTTTCTTTCTTTCTTTATATATATATATATATACAGTATATATATGTGTGTGTGTGTGTGTGTGTGTGTATTTTTGAAATTCTGTGACATTTTGCACTTTTTAGAGAAAAAGCTGGTTAACTGGACTTGCTAAGACAAGTTAGCTAGCAGTCATTCTAACTTCTTGTGTTAGCAAGTCCAGTTAACCAGCTTTTTCTCCAAAAAGTGCAAAATGTCACAGAATTTCAAAAATCCACACAATATACCAAAATCAATAACACTGAAAAGGTGTTTTAGCATAGATGAAACTGAAGAAGTGCATTTTTCTGTCCTTTCTGAAAGAACAACGCCATTATGAACTTGAAAAACCACAGCCAATCAGAGCAGATGTGAGGTTTAATAAACAGCTATGTGGAGGAGGTTCATCTCACCTCTGAGAGTTGGGAGAGGGCAGCTCTGAATATTTGCCCAGGCTGGATGGCTGCCGAAGCCCAAGTAGTCTGGAAGGAGGCTCCAGCGTGCTCTGTGTTGGTGTCAATGTGCCGTTCTTTAGCAGGCCGCCTCCGCCACACTCAGAATCAGACGCCACCGCCTTGGCTTTGGCCTTCTCCTTCTCCCGGTCCGTCTGGTTGACCGGAGCGCATCCTCCTGTACTGGCCCGATGGAAGCTCTTCACACTGCCTGGTTCCTTCAGTCTGGATGGGGCGGGCACTGTTTTTAGGCCCTGTAGACCAGCGTCCATGTTGCTGCTGACGGGACGAGCGCCCGGCCGTCCTCCCGTCAAACTCAAGGTGCTGGACTTAGCAGGTCTCGGGAGACTACGATACTGGATGTTGTTGCGTGCGTTCGGAGCCATGAAACCTTGATCACAGTTCGACACATCAAGACTGGTCTTGCGTCCTCCACCCACCTCGCCGGCAGAGGGTTTCACTGGGATACCAGAGGTTTTAGGAGTTTTGTTGACAATCGCAGAGTTTTCGGAGACGGTGTTTCCACTAGTTGTTAGCACAGTGGCGGTGCCGTTAGTTGGAATGGTTTTCTTGTAACCGAAGGAATTAACCGTGCCGGCGGAGGGACGGACGAGACCAGAGGGAGGTTTTCTGTGCTCGCCACGTTCTTTCCCTGCATCTGAACTGGAGCGCTGTAAGCCTGAGGATTTCACTGGCATTTTGGCTTTATCCACGACTCGCTGATCGTTCTTTGGAACTGCAGGAACAACAATAAACACAATCAGTGTAATAAACACAATCATGAGTAACCAGTGGTGGACAGTAATGAAGTATTCTTATTATTTTACTTTTTCTTGAGTACATTATAAAGCATAATACTGTACTTTTTACTCCACTACATTTCTTAAAAGCATGTCGTTCCTCGTTATTTTGAACTGGAGAAATTGTCACTTGCTCCAAGATGCGATAGTGGAGTCCGATTCATGAACGAGCTGATTCTTTTCAATGAACCTGTTAAATCAGTTCACACACTGCACTGAATGATTCATTTGCGTTTCAGATGAGCGATTCATCTCTTCTCAAGTCAACAACTCACTAATTAACTAACTAATGCCAAATTTTAGGATTTATTATTGTGAATGAAAATCATATTTAGGTCACGACTGTCAGTTGTTTGTGAACTAAATTTGCTGTAAAAGGGTGAGCTGTTTAAACCCACTCTATGAAATGCTTGAATGTGGACATGTTCATATTAAGTACATCACCTCAACAGGGAAGGTTTTAGGTAAAACCGAAAAATAAAATCAAAAATTACGCAAATTAATGCCACGCATCATCCCTGCTGACAAAACAGTTTCAAATGAGTTTCAAACTAGTATATTTGCATAGCGTTCTTCTTAAAATTAGATACATTTTGCCCTATGTGACATCGGTTGTCAACACATTTTGTTTTTCCTTGTTTTTTTAATTACTATATATTAAATATTGAATTGTTTGCACACATGAAATGTCAGTAACCTAAATTTATACTTAATTGCTTTTATTTGTATTATATATATATATATATATGTGTGTGTGTGTGTGTGTGTGTGTGTGTGTGTGTGTGTGTGTATGCATGTGTAAATATTTATTATTTTGATAATGTATGACAAGCCCCACCGGCTCCAGGTATTTTGAGTAGTAGAATTATATCAAATATATAATATAACACCTTAGTAACCACAAAGCAACCACTGATCAGCCACCAAATCATCATATCAACCACTCACAAGAACAAACCCAGCCTTGTGTCGATGAGTTTTGCGCCATTCACATTTTCTTCAGATAATTAATCTAGTTCACAAAATAAATTTTTCTCTGAGTGGATTGTGCAAGGTTTCTTAGGAAAGACAGATTAATGCAACCTCTAACCACACCCAGCTTTAAGTAAGCTTTTACACTTCATTTAACACCACAATGTATATGCAACACACACACACACACACACACACACACCAACAGATGCACAAGTCCTCTTCATTAGAGTAATGAAATATATGGACACAATCCATCATGAGATAAATGACTTTCCTGCTTATGCTGCTGACTTCAATTCACTCAGCTGTAACATAACAGCCTGCTTAAATATTTAAGACGTTAACTTAAACCGAGGACCCTTGAAGTCACAGAGCTATTTAAGAAACAAAGGGAGTGGGTACAGCACAACTGTTACAGTACTGACAACATGAAATGAGTGAACTTTCAAAGCCCACCCTGACGGCCATCTGGATCCTCTCAAAGATATTTATAAATAAGCAGCAAAACGAGGCCAAAACGCTAGCGCAATCGTGACTCGATCTCCGGTCGAATGGGAAAACACACATACAGAAGAGATTGTTCGCAAACTTAAAAATTGGCTTTACTTTAACAACGTCCCCCACTGTATTGGAAAACACACTGCTGGAGTAACTTAAGCATTTAAATGGCTCAATTAGCATAACAAATAAAAATAGTGTATTTGCGAAACACGGCGTGTATTTCGTCTGTCACGAGGCTCTGTAATTCACACCGCTGCCACCCAGGACGATGGCCAACACAAGTAAATACAGCTGACATCAACTTGAGATGGAGATTAGATGTGAAAAGAAATATGTTGAGTTGGAATAATGTAGGACATTAGCAGACGATGACTGTATTAAATGCTAGCATGATCGTATCAAAGGATACAAGGGGGAAAGACACATTTTTTACACGTTTGTTTAGACTGGAGGGAAACAGTAAAAGTGAGTCAGAAACAGAAAAAGAGAGAGTCAATGGAAACTGGAAAAATTGGACAGGGCTAACGAAAAGAGTAGCTATCAAACTGACAGAGATGCAGCTGTGAGAAGAGGAGTGGAGATAGATGTCATTTGTCTCCCTGATACTACATGACTATAACAGCAGGCTTGTACAACAAAATATATACTTTGCGTTAAACATGGTCTTATTATACAAGACTGTGTCTTAGAATAACAACATGTCAGTGCAGTGTGACATAATAAAGATCCTTTTCTCTGACACCAAGGATTTGACTGTTATTAGCCGTGTTTGCTAATGCAAATGCCAAAAACATGCAACCTCTCATGTTCATGTGTTTTTTTTGTGTAGAGGGAACAAGTTATGTTTTGACTCATTAGTGTTGACAGATTTTGTTAAAAAAAACAACAACCCGCAAATAAGAATATGGCCATAATAAACCAAGAGCTTTATCTTGAAAAAAAGCCAAAATATCATGACCTGAGCCAGCATACTTTAATAACTTCATAAACTGGATAGCTTGATGAGTCGAGCCCAAACAACAACCCAAAGTCGCTTAATATGCATTGTTTATAATAAGTGGACATGGCAACCCTTGTACATGACACTGTGCAAAACACAGTGGCTCTGTCTACAATGGTTTAGTTAAAATCACCGAGCATAACGAGTCTTTGTTTGCTGTAATATTACTTTGATCAAAAACTGCAGACAGACACCAAAACATTGATATGGTTACCATGATGTCATTCATCGCAATTTAGGGGATTCAAATGTGGTTGTCACTCCTGAAATTTTTCAGTACGTGGCCTATTCTAAAGCCCAAAGTATACTTCTGTTTTAACGTGAACAGTTATTGCACAGCCAAACACATAGCCTTTCAGCATAGGTTGCATGAACACAGGTGATTCACACATGCACACTAGAAATTTTCCTTCCCTTACACAAGCACTTGTCAAAGCCGTAATTGTTGTCATTCTGTTCTTCAACTGTGACACAATAGTCATGTACGAAATTGTATTTTAAGGAGGAAAAATCAGAATAAAAACATACTATATCAAATGTTTTATTCGAGAAGATTCACTCTAGATTTTCTCTATTCAGTCAATCCGAATAATGAATGAACAAGTTCACGAACAAGATTCAAAACAGGTAACCTTCAAGATGCTATTTACAGTTGCATACTTCACAAGGGACTTCTGTAAACGAGTCAGCACACTGAAGTGATTCATTCACTTGAATGATTCATTCTTAAACACTGATTCGTTCTTAAATACAGGGCCCTTTTACCACAGCCCAGAAAATCCACGAGATCAGCTTGCGCTGCAGCTATGGGATTGATCAGTCGGAGAGAATTATCATCACTCTGTCTGAGGAACGAGATCCCATAAATAAGATTGATAGGTTCATTTCTCCCCCAGTTTATGAGAGGCTGTATTTCATACACATCTTGCATGACAGGGATTGAGGTTTCCAATTCCCTAACTATATTTTCAAATATGGAATATTTGAGATCCAATTCCAGTGGACGATAAATCAAAGACAACACTGAATAAAACCTGGAACTAATTCTCTCTGTTACAATATGAGGGTATACTCATGTTTTTCCAGTGCCATCTTGTGCGTTCAGTCTGTCCAATCAAAGTGTCTGTCCACAGGGAGAGGCAGATAGCGCTGACACAGACGTTTGGCTTGCCGGTCGGTAACATCTACACACTCGCTGAAAGACTAATGACTGCTTCTGTGCTCCACTGTCTCTGGGACAAACCACTCCACTCAAGCGTTCAGCCAGTTTTCACAGTTCTGCTTGCATCTGGTTTGGCTGACAATGACTTAGGGACCTGCATGTGCATTCTTTTTTTCTGTGGATTTGAGAACTGGCTCTAATGGAAGCTCATTTCTGCCACAAAAAATTTAAAAAAATTAAAAGGTAATTGCGACTGTTTATCTCACTATTCTGACTTTTTTTCTTGCAATTCTGAGAAGAAAGTTTAGAAATATAAGATACTAAATTAGCAATTGCGAGAAAAAAAGTCAGATTTGTGTGAAAAAAGTCACATTTTTGGTCCATTGCTGAACGAACAAACAAACAAACAAACAAATAAAGCCAGAATTGCGAGATATAAACTCAGAATTGTGAGATGCAAACTTGGAATTTAGAGAAGTAAACTCGGAATTGAGAAAAAAAGTCAGAATTCTGAGTTTAGATCTCGAATTCTGAGAAAAAAAGTCAGAATTGTGATATCTAAACTCAGAATTCCAAACAAATTCCAAAAATGTGAGATTAAGTTGCAATTATCTTTTTTTTTTATTCCATGGGAGATACTAGCTTCCATAGGTTTTTATTCAAAAGTTTTAGGCCCCATCCACACGGAGACGCGTTTAGCTGTATACGCATAAATTTTGTATCGTATAGGCATTTCGTCCACACGGATCCGGCGTTTTGGGAGAGTGAAACCAATATTTTTTTAAACCAGGTCCCAGAGGCTATGTCCACATTTCCCTATACGATCTTTTTTTTCACCTCGTCTCAAGAAATATCTGCATCCACACGAAACCACAAAACCGTCACAAAACAATGTAGTATACATGCCAGACCAGCATGTGGTGCTGTAATTCTGCCACAGAGATACACTAAAAACAGAGAGGAAGACTTGGACTATGCGCATAAACCTTGCGCGCGGTATACAAACGAACATGGAACAATACATTTATTAATCTGTGTTAATGTTAGTTAATAAAAAGACTATACCGCACGCAAGGTTTATGCGCATAGTCCAAGTCTTCTTCTCCTTTTTTAGTGTATCTCTGTTACAGAATTAAATACATCGTTTTGTGTCGGTTTCATGGTTTCGTGTAGACGTAGATATTTCTTGAGACGAGGGAAAAAAAAAAGATCAGATAGGGAAAGCTCTGGCTTTGTGTGGACGTAGCCTTAGATAAGATGAGTTTATCGAAATGTGATAAACAAAAAGTACTTATGAGCTGGATCTTTTAAATGGAGAGTTCGCCCATAAGAACGAATCAGTGTTTAAGAATGAATCATTCAAGTGAATGAATCACTTCAATACATCGACTCATTTACAGAAATCACTTGTGAAGCATGCAATTGTAAATAGCATCTTGAAGGTTTGCGGTTTTGAATCTTGTTCATGAACTTGAAGAGACATGTAATTCCTTCAGTTCGTCATGTGAGTCTGTCTGGTTTACAAGGTGATAAAGGATATGGGAGAATAGTGATTGTATGAAAATGAAATGGACTATTTTAACAATGTCTTTACTACCTTTCTGGGCTTTGAACATGGTAGTTTCATTGCCTTCTATGGAGGGTCAGAAAGCTCTCAGATTTCATCAAAAATATCTTAATTTGTGTTCTGAAGATGAATGAAGTTCTTACAGGTTTAGAACAACATGAGGATGAGCAACTAATGACAGAATTTTCATTGTTGGGTGAACTAACCCTTTAATAAATCAATCAAAAGACTCAACCTCATAATGTATATAAGTTTATTTTATTACATTAAATTTATTTACATTAAAATAGTACTCAAAGACAGGGCAAGCTACTTTTGCTTTCAAGAAATTCCCATTCTTTGGTTCTCATAAAAAAAAAAAACGATTTCTTGTAGTAGCTGACATGACAGTTTCACTGAAGCTGTAACTTGGACAGAAAACATCTAAGGTCTGTTTTCGGAATAAAAGCGGATCGGTTTGCGCAGTTCACTGGGTGCAATTGCTTCAATTTCATCAATCCGTCATTCATCCACTTCTGTGCGTTTGAAAGCTCGACCGCATTGGCCACCGCATGAATGGCAGACATATGCATAAGTGTTGATGTTCTGGCTACATGTCAACACACTGACTGAATGAAAGACTAAACATGGCTGCCTTTCATTAACGTGACATCATGATGTGTTTCTTTTCCAACACGTACAGTACAGCGTGCAGATGGTTTCTTTCAGGTCCAGCTGCATAAACGCTGCGCTCCCTACCGCGCCTCTCGCTTTGTTGGAAATGGTAAACGGACCCCCACAAGGTGGCATTAAATGCATAAGAAAAATAATCAACTGGTTTCTTGGAGCTCTTTCAATTTGAAGAGCTCTACGGTCGTAAAGTGCGAAGGCGACTGGGTCTAAAAACATCAGATGGGGTGATGCATTCACAGGAAGAGGAATAGTGGGTGGTGTTGGGTGATTTAGGGTTTTTAAGAGCTATGATCATACCCAACCCCCCTGCCGCCCGGTGGTGGACAACAGCTGGCGAGATCTGATGCCAATCCTCCACTCCAGCACTGAGTCGAACAGGGTGTCTTTCTCTAGCAGCTATTCTACCCATGCCAGCAGCAGAATCAGGCTTTGTTGGAGCTCTGCATCGGATCTAATGACCCAGCACTAACTGCCATCAGCTGAGTTTGCCATTAAGACAGAGGACTGCATTCAAAGATGAAGCCGATTAGAAGAGTGTCTTTGTTTCTAGATGAGGTCAAAGCCATTGATACTGGACTCTGTAATCACTTCACGGTTTGTTGACTCAAAGGTCGCCTAATACTCTGAGATGATAACATTAAAACCCAATAGAAAAGAAGAATCACCGAAGAGATCTCTTTAATGCCATAATTGTTTTGTCGCAACCACAATGAGGTTACATGGAGAGCAAATTGAGACGTTTGCTTAAGCCTCATGCTTAGATTTTTCTCCAAAGAAAAAGACCTACAGTTTCATAAGAAATATCAACAATGACACAGATTGTGCTATAAATCAAAAATCAAAAGTCAAAGATCTCAGTGTGAACTCAAGCATTCTTTCATTAGTTTTACATTCGATATTACAGTTCTTGCCAACGCAATGATAATTACTTGTATTGTTATTGCTGATACCTGATTAATTATTTTAAAGATTAAAATTTAAATCTACTATTTAGAAATAAAACACTGAAACATAAGATCAATGACAAAATGCATATATATATTTACAGATTACATTTAACTGTGTTATTAAATTTTCAGTTTTTAAAAATAAAATTTTTTAATTAGGTTTCAAGCTAAATGTAAAACACAAGTTATCTGCTGAAATAAGTAATACCTGTATATCATATTTTAAAAATATATTGAATAATTATATATTGGCTAAAAACATTAAAGCTTAATGTAAAACACGATATATATATGCTGAAATATCTAAATTAATAAATATCTAATATTTAAATTTTATATTTATATATTGGCTAGTAAATATTGAAATAAATATATAGTTATATAATAAAAATGCTTATATATATAGTTAAATAGTAAAACAAATGTTATTTTTTACAATATAATAAAATAATTTATATATATATATATATATATATATATATATTACATATATATGTTTTTTTTTTTTCACCAGCCATTTTCCACCAGTCATCTGAATGGCAAAAAAAGTCCCAGTTTACCTAAATTTACATATATTTTAAATATAATACATATAACCTATATATAGGCTATGGATTACAGGTAATGATGCAGTAAATAATGTTCAGTTTCTTGCACAGACCAATCGTTTTGCTTCATAAGATCTCAATATATCATCAGGAGCCACAGGTATTAATTTTGTGTTGCCTGATTTGCTTTTATTTTACTCTGACATTGACGGTAACCATTGACTTGCATTTTACAAATCACCAACAACCACAGTTTCAGCAAAAATATCTTCTTTACTGTTCAACTGAAGAAAAAAAAGTGACCTACATCTTGGCCTGAGGGTGAGAAAATAAACAGCTAATTTTTATTTTTGGGTGAACTATCCCTTTAAATAAAAAAATAACTGAGAACTCAGTTTATTCTCCTGAGCTACGAATGAGCAACCTCTGAGCAATAAAAGTTACCTTTGAGACAGTACATTTGGGTCATATTTGTTCATTAGATCATTTATGCCTGTGTTGGCAGGATTTGGAGACTGGAAGGAACGTCATGGGAGATTAACGACATGTGTTGCATGTTTCAGGGTGTGTTTCCATACCATTAGATGTATGTGTGTGTTTGTGTGTGTGTGTGTGTGGCATCACTAACCTCCTGGCACTTTGAGCATGCTCTGTGAGGTGTGTGTGATGGGGGAGGTCACGCCTACAGGAGGGTTACGGCTCTTCTTCAGTCCGCTGGGCGGGTGGCCAAGCGTCTGCGGTTTCCTCAGCTCACCCTTGACTCCCGTGTCATCCTGAGATCGGCTTTTTTTCCATTTGCTGGATGACTCCGCCTTAAGGCTGCCTGTGTCGTATCCTCCCTCATTCCGGCATTGTGCCTTCCCCTCCTCGCTGTACCAGGAAAGGCCACTTTCAACCAGCGAGCGCTTCTCAGCATCAGTGCGCAGCTGTGGGAAGAGTTTGTGTGAAAATAAACAGTGTAAATTTCTGTGTAAATGTGCTAGACAGATGATTTCTTCTGGAAACTCTGTTATTCCATAAATAATATACAATTAATATTAAACATTTTATAACATATTATTTTTGTCATTTTTTGTCTAAAAAGAAAAATACAATATAGCAAACTAAAACCTATGGAAGCCTGTTTCCACCAAAAAATAAATGATAGACAGACAGACAGATAGACAGATAGATAGATATAGATATGGACGGACGGACAGACAGACAGACAGATAGACACATATAGATATAGACAGACAGACAGACAGACAGATAGACAGATAGACAGATAGATAGATAGATAGATAGATAGATAGATAGATAGATAGATAGATACAGACAGACAGATAGAGACAGACAGACACAGACAGACAGACAGACAGAGAGAGAGAGAGAGATAGATAGATAGATAGATAGATAGACAGACAGACAGACAGACAGACAGACAGACAGAGAGAGACAGACAGACACAGACAGACAGACAGACAGAGAGAGAGAGAGAGATAGATAGATAGATAGATAGATAGATAGATAGATTATATCTCATAATTCAGATTTTTCTGTGCAACTCCAAGAAAAAAAGTCAGAATTGCGAGATATAAACTCAAAACTGTGCCATAAAAATCGAAATTGTGAGATAAAAAGTCACAATCACCTTTTTTATTCTGTGGTGGAAACAGGCTTCCATAAACATCAGCATACGATGAGAACCACTCCGGTGAAAGGAAAAAGAAGCAACTGTTTTATCTCGACACAAGCCACCAAACATGGAAGTTTTGTTTCAGGGTCCTGCTTTGTGAGATGCGTTGTGGTGACATTCCAACACGAGCAGTGGAGATGAACAGAAGTAACGCACGCTGAGATAAATCAGCACACCACAGAACATCAGAGCAGTGTTTCTTCTCCAGAAGAACTGTCTGTTTAGTTTTGGCTCTATCTATCACTAGGTTTAAGTAAAAGACACAAAACTAGCTTCTGCCTGCTTTCTATTGCCATAGGCTCAATATGATATATTCATTAATGTGTGCTCTATCTATCTATCTATCTATCTATCTATCTATCTATCCATCCATCTATCTATCACCTTTTTGGGTGAAATATTTTTGAATGTACATCAAACCTTACAACATTTAAGGTTCTAGTGTTACCTCGTGAGATTAAAATCCTTGTGTAATAAATTAAACTGAACAAGACTTAATTTTTTGATTTGAAAAAAAAAAAAAAGATTTGGTGAAAGTGAACCATAGGAGAAGAGCATTTAAAGTAAGAGGAGTCTGACCATGTTGCCAGGTCCAATGAACCATGTCCGGCTTAAGGAGAAGCTCTGTGGAGGGGCATACCTGCTTTATTAAATGTAAATAACCCTTCGTGAAAGGTTGATGTCATCTGAGGAATGTCTGCTCCCTTATACTGGGAATTATGGGATACGGCAAGCTCACATATTTGACCAATTAAACCTGTCTGAACTTTGATGTTTGTATAACTGTGATGTTGACATGTCATTTCCTTCTTCTGGCTGAGGCAGCCGCGTGGGTCAGATCAAGAAAGAAGCCGGGGATTGTTCCCTTCTCTTCATACCTGAAGAGTACAATAAAGTCAGCTGAGGAGGAGGGCAGGCTGGTATGAGAGTCTGTGGAGGGTTTAGAAGAACACTGTGATCTGTTTGTCCAGCAGAGCATGTGTGGTGATGCTGTAACCTCATGAAGCAGATTACTGGGCCTGTGGTGCTGCCGGAGAGGTTAATTTCAGTTTAGAAGGATGACAGGGACACTGCTAACCTGATTTTATTCTCTAGAGAAGATTCCAGGGATTGCACTGGGAATGCTCAAATTCTTGAACTTAACTGAAATAAAATCTGATTCAGTATGCCCTTTTCTCTTAAAAATGAAGTGTGCTTTTTGTTTGGTGTACATTGATCAAAAGCATCAAATTCTAATTAATCAAATTCTGTTCTTTTGAAGTTTCGATTCAAAAAATTATCTTTGAGGAAACTGATCTCTTTTTTTTTTCAAGATTTTTTTCAAGCATCTTAACTGTTTTCAACATTGATAATAATACAAAATGTTTCTTGAGCAGCAAATCAGCATATTATACTGATTTCTGAAGGATCATGTGACACTGAAGACTGGAGTAATGATGCTGAAAGTTCAGCTTTGCATCACAGGAATAAATTACATTTTAAAATATATTACATAAAAAAATGGTTAATAAACCGTAATAATATTCCACAATATTTTTTATTGTACTTTGATCAAATAAATGCAACCTTGGTGAGCATTAAAAAAATATATAAAAATTTTACCAACCCCAACCTTTATAATTGTATTACATATATTTTCAATATTTCATCATCTGAAGGCTTAACATGTTGAACTTTATCTGCACTGTACCTCATACTTTTTTTTCTCATTTGCAACAAATTATTCATGTTAGAATCAACATAAGAGTGAATAAATGCTTTATTTTTTGTGTGAACTTTGTGTGTCGGATCTAACTAACATCTATAATGACATTCAAAATAAATACAGACACTGTGGCCCATCTGTACTGTAATAATGTGGTAAATGTTTCTCACAATGCCAAGAAACTGATTTTAGGTAGCCAGAACGGCTGAAATGAAATCAGAAAGCGGTGTGGTCTTCAACAAATCCTAACCAACACAAACACACATTCACACACAGAGGACTGAACCTGTAACACTACATGGGAGTTCATCTTTGAGAATGAAACCAGAGACTCCCTGAAGACTTCTTGGCCAGGGAAGAGTCACATCACTGTCTTTGGGTGGGATAAACTGTGTCATCTGTGTTCTGTGGTGATAGATTTCAGATGGGTATCGACTGAGTCAGTGCGCGCTCACTAACTCTAAAGCGGTTAGTGGTTTGTAACACATTTATCCCATTAGCAGCAAGTACTGTGTGCTCAGGCTAGACTGATCCAGTATTGTGTGTCACAAATTGGCCAACTGATGCAACAAACCTTGAAGCAGAAACAAGTAATATTTCTATCAAATTGAAGTGAATTACCACAATGGCAGAGTTGCGTCGGGAGCCAATGGGAGTTGTCGGCAGGGAGTTAAGGGAGGAGCCTGCGTTGAACTCCTCTGAGCTGAGGTTGTCTGAACCGTCACTCAAACCGCTGCTGATGGAGCTGCTTTCATCCCAACTGCAAAGAAAACACGAGAAATACAATCACTGCACTGATTCAGGTCATAACCTGGTCCTAATGAATTATTAATTGTTTATGCAAAGCAGACAAATTAATAATTAATTGCTATAAAGGAACATATCTTGGAAAACATAGTAATTCTTCTAAAAGAGCAAGAAAAAAAACATGTACTACATTGACCTACTCTAGCGCAATACTCAGCAGTCAATCCAGACTATTTATGAAAACTAAAGTGCAAAAATAAGACATTATGATAATGATAATCATCATAATCATGAGCACATTACCATGAGTGTGCATGTACGCATATCATTAAGTATTTAGTATTTGACTAATTAGAATTCCGCAGCTCTGGCCCACCCTGATGATCAACAATGTGAATTACATATCTATAAACATGTTAGCCAATCATAACAGAGGTAATTTACATAGAGGTCTTAAAGGTACAGTGGCAAAACAGACAGGGTAATTCTAACATCAAACAGAGGTAGGGAAATTATCCATGAAATCTAAATTATCTTTCAGGAAAAAAATAATGCTAAGAACGCATTATTAACAAGACAAATCTGATTCAGGCGTGATATTCTGATACATTTGATACATTATCACATTTACATGCATATCCATATATTAATCAGAATTTGGTCATATTCTTATTATGTCTGAATCATGTAAACAAATGAACTCTATAACTAAATTAAGACAATATTTCAGTTTCTAAAAATCAGAATAAGACAGCTGGTACTGTATATGCCTGAATTAATCTGAATTCATTGTCATTTAAACGTCTTATTCACAAAACCTATTGTAACTGGAATATTAATTTTTATCTGTGCAAATTATGGGTGTTATTAAGCTTTTAAAAGACATGCAATAGAATCAACACATTTTTGAAAAGAGGACAGGTTATGTTTTTGTTTTTGTATACCTCTACATTAAAATAAAGAACTGTGGCCTGCATTTTGTCATTTTGAACACCCAGTTTTGGGAATAAAGGCCTTAATCTGAATATATTGCATTTGCACACGTTGTTTGTGACACCACCTGCTACGAGAACAGAGTTGAGATGATCTCTGCCTGTTTTTACATTCAACAGCAGGATTTCGACGTAACTTTCAATGTTTTTCAATTCAGAACCTCATTAAAGATTCACAAGGATATCTGGTTTTGTCTGGTCCTGGTGTGTCAGGATCCTTAAAAAGCAAATGCTCCAGGATGGAAGGTGACTTTGAGATAAGAACACATCTTGTCGCACAAGACCTGATAAACCCTGAGAAAGTGATAAGGCCATCCTCACATCACTGAACATGTATGCTTAAAAAAGACAGCCGCAACCTTTCCAATCAGAAACAACCATTGATAAACTTGTTGAGCCACAAAGGAACCTGACCGGTTCCTAGCAGATAAAATTTGTGTTGTGTAACTGTTATCAGAAATCAGAATAAAACACACAGTCACAGGGGTTTCTCATCTTTGTGAGGCTGTCTGCTCAGCTGTGGAGACCTATGGAATGAAACAGCTGACTTTGGAAAGACATTCTGCAATGTTTCTTTGGAAAAGGATTCGCTGCTGATCCCCTCAGATGTTTTTAATTTTATGGAAATCAAAGCGTTTAATGCTGTTTAATGTCTAATGCAACTGTAGTACTGGATGCATTTAAAAAGTCTCGTGTAGAAAATTATTTTCTATTGATATTACATCAGACACAGATTAAAAAAAAAAAAAAAGCAAAAGCAAAACAAAACAAAAAATCAAAGCAATACAAAACAAAGAAAAGCAAAAAACTAATCACAAAACAAAGCTAAGCAAAACAAAATAAAACAAAAAACAGCAAAGAAACAAAGCAAAAAGTAAAACAATAAAAACAAACAAAAGCAAAACACAAAACAACAAAGAGAAAAAGAAAACAAACAGCAAAGCAAATTAAAATAAAAAACAGCAAAACAAAAATCAAAGCAAAACAAAACAACAGAGAACAAAACAAAACCATTGAAAATGTAATTAAGCTAAACAAAAAAATCGAATTATTCCATACAATTCTTCAGTGCCATAAACAATAGCTTTGAGACATCATACTAGCCTTTGAACCTCATCCACAAAACACAATAGTTTCCACATTTTCCCTTTATTTCCACCTCCAGTCTCTATTTTCCAGATGCTTTAAATTCCTCAGATGTCCCGTTGACACCTAAATACTGGATTAAGTAGCGGCACATTGTGAGGAGTCTGTCATTATAAGATATCTAAGCACATTCAGCTGTTTTGCGAGACGGCCAGCCCTGAGGTGAAATACTGACGGTCTCTTTATGAGCGATAATGATCGGGGTTCAAGTTTCAGGGCTGTTTGGAGCACCTCAAGCATCAAACTCTGTGATTACACTCAAAATCCTCATCTCCAAACCTGAAATGACAGCACTCCAGTGATGGTTTTAAAGGATGAACGGCAGTCTCATTGTTTACCTCTACAGCTGGGAATATTTGTGAGATGCGATGTCTCATTTGACAGCTGTTTTTTTGCTTTGATGCCTTGCAAGCGTGCCATATGTGAGATTTAAAAAGCTACGATCTTTCTTCAAGCCTGTGAACTCAACAGATATGATGTGTCAGTTGAATCACAAGCAACATCTCATCTGTGTGATCTTGATTTATTTCTAAAAGTGTCACTTTAAGTGCGCAACATGACAAGCAGAGCCTTGCTGCAAAATTTCTGCCGCAGGTCATGTGGAAAAGGAGGACGAGGACACCTTGAATACATCGGCTTTGCCTACAGCATCCCACAGACACAGGCCTCACTTCAAAGGCATGCCACAGACACCATGCGGTTTCCGATAAACCTGGACTAAAACTGTGTGTTTGATATTATGTGGAAGGGAAAAATGCAGATAAGCACAGTGACCTTTTGGAGATGCTGCGCTCCCTTGACCAGCCTTGTTCATAGTGTCAGTGGATGTGAATTTGCAATTTATTTTATTTTTTTTAAATCAGATGGACTTCATAGGGCTTTAGTGGTGGGAAAAAAAGATAATGAGCAGCAGAATCTCAGCAAGATTAGGCTTAACCAGCACTAACAAATACTGTACCATAACACTCTGTGACCTCAGATTAAAGGATTATAAAAAATGCTAGTGGAAGCAAAGGATTTATATTCAGCTTTAAAAATGACATAAAACAACATTCCCAACCTATTTCACCTTCATAATATGATGTATTTCTGAATGAAACTGAATATTTAATGAGAAAAGTAGAGCCTATGAAACCTGTTTTATTTATTTCCCCAAATTCCATTTTATTTCTTAAAAAATTCCTTTTTTCCGTTTGAATTCTGGATTTCTGGATTCTGTTTTAGTGGCTAAATTAAATTTTAGTTATCAAATAGCATGTCTACTTAATTAAAACACATGTCTTATTAATTAAAACAATGAAACATACACAATTTAACATTTAACAACAATTTACTGCATTAAAAGTTAAAATACAAATAATGTTTAGGACCTTATGCTTGGGTCCTATAAAAGAGTGTATGATGTAAAACGCATACGAAAAAAGGTACATTTTTATGCATTTTTGGTAATTACATTAGACAGATATATAGTGAACAGTTAAAATACATTTCCAGGGAGAGAGCATAATGGTCAGGACATGCTGCAGTCTGGACTTAAAACTAGATTACCTGCATGAGCAGCAGAGCTATCAACATGTCTTACCACGAGCTAACTGCTGGCTCCTACTTTAATTTTAACATAATTTTAGAGCCATACTAAATCAACTTCCATAGTATACCTTTTCAGCAAACAAATACAAAGTGAATTCTGTCCATTTTAAAGAAGAAAACAAAAGCAGGGAGAAATGCGCATGTGCTATCTTTCTCAAGGCTAAAAAAAAAAAAAAAGAGACAGCAAAACAGAGACACCACCGAGCTAATTGCGCTAGTGCTGTTAGAGCCATCTTTCTCCAACTGAAGCACACTCCTCTATCTGTCCTCCATTCCCAGAACAGGGCTCTCAAAAAACACAATAACATTGTATCAAGGCTGCACCGTAATTGCAGCCCGAGCCCCGCCTGATAGGAAAAAGAAAAAAAAAATACCGATTTGAAGATAAAGTGTCCTCCTACCCATCCCCTCCACCCTAAACCAAACATTAACTTTAATTGCATGAATGCAAGGCAAGCAGATAACAGCAACACTGCATTTCTAAAGAAGGCATCCGCTATCCAAGTGCTATTTGGGGGTTTTTAGGGTAGTAAGAATGAGTTTTCTCATGACGTCTGTCTGCATAGGCCTATATCAAACACAAAAAGTACACTAGACCAACGTTATCAAATAACAATGAAAAGTCTATACTTGGTGTTTTTATGTGGTGTTCCTCAGGGTACTATCTTGGGTCCTCTCTTTTTTTGTAAATAACACAAAATTGTAATCCAGGAAGTAGTTGCTAAATCCAAAATAATGGAAATTATCCATAAACAGTTACCCCTGACTTAAAGCTAGTCGCTATATCAAATATTTACATATTTAGTTGCAGATCAATTTAACTAATATTAAATTAATTTAACTAACATTGTCACAGCATGTGCACTTTTTTAAAATAAAAGAATAAGTCCACAAAGATGTCAAGACATACAGTGGGTACGGAAAGTATTCAGACCCCCTTCAATTTTTCACTCTTTGTTATATTGCAGCCGTTTAAGGGAGTCTGAATACTTTCCGTACCCACTGTATATCAATATTACTAAAAGGCTGCAAAAAATAGTGTCCAGTCCTGCTTTTGGCTCCACGTTTATTTTATTTTATGCACATACTAGACAGCAACTGCATGTCGCCAGTAGCATATGGCCTTTATCTTGAACACATACAGAAGTATATATCAATTGCCTAGATGTTCTACATAATTCGTGCTTTGCCCATCCCAATTTGCCCAGCTTAGCAAAATACTGGAATGCCAAATGACAGGTGGCAGATCCTCTTTCATCAGCACCAACTGGTCACACACAATCCG